AAAAACTGATCAATTTGGACAAGTGAGTGCATCATAAATGCGTTTCATTCGGTCTGTCCAATATGCACACACATAATCTTGGAGTCTGTCTCCGTCGACTCTTGGATCGCTCCGTTATTCACGTCGATCAACCACTCCCCCAAAGCACTGTAACTGCGTCGTAAATGTAGTTGGGTGCGTAATCGACTACTTTGCGCACCCTCCATTTGCGCCTCATTTACCGCTGGAATGTTGATTCGATGGCGATAGTTTACGAGACGGCGCAGCGCATGGGGACCTACTGAATCGACTACCCTGTATACCGACGCTAGCCCGGGTCGGGAGTTTAGCTTTGACGCATCTGTTTGGGGAGTGAAGTGCACCAACAAGAACACATGGAGGTTGCGAAAGGAAATAGTCGGGTATCAGTAGCAAACCTACTTCCTTTATTCCCCGTACTGTGTGAACCAGACGGGGCAATGTATTTTAGATTACATGACGGCCGTTGTTTATGTGACTGTAGAAGTTGTCCACGATCAGGGCACTCAAGCATAAACAGAAGAGCAATATGGTTATATGGTCAAGCCGTTGTACTTTCGAAATTCGGTTAGGCAGTACAAGTTCCTTTCAGAATCAGCTAAAATCAAGTAGTCGGAGCATAAATGTTATATCAGGTTGAGATCGCTGCTTTGGCTGCAACCTGTGATCACCATTTGTAGTGTACCATGCGTATCACACCATCCCATTTACACACAAAGTCTCACTTCATCGCGGTCGTTCGGACCGTCCGATGAACGGAGCGCAGCATTCCATTGCATCATCTTACCGTGTGTCCTTAATAGATCTAAACATGCAACACATCACAAGTATGGCCACGCTTGAATTCCAATGAAAGTCATTCACCATTTTGCCTCCACTTTCTCTTCACCATAGGCGTTCCGATGGGTCCTACATCACTTGTTTGCCCGAGTTGATCGATCTCACATCTTCCTCTCCGGCTCAACTATACACCATGCTTGGGGATCGCATTCGTCCGAAAGCACTTTCAGAAGTGAAGCAAGTAAGCTCGTTGTGCCTATGTTCAGTGTCTCTTCACCGCAGATTTAACTAGTCCACAATGCTCACCCTTTTTATGTTTTCTGATCATGCACTGCGGTGAAATATTGATTTGGTCTTACTGATCGGGGTTGTTCAGAATTAAGTGCATACGATATCGATTGGTTCATCATAACGGGTGCCAGCGTAGCTGTTTGGCGTCTGTTCCGTAGAAACGAGCAATTCACACAAATCTTTCACATATATTCGTGCTATCGACTGGTCACACAAAATCAGGCCACTTGAGGTATGTCCCGATGCGTCTCAATAAGGATTGAATCATTGCGGAGCTTTAGATTGGACCTATGCGTTTTCAGGCACTCATTGTCTGCCCTTCGCGAAACCATCAAAGACTAGTTGCAGAAGTAGGACCACTAGTCCCACTCTTATTCGGGTCATCTCAACGTGGAAACCAAGCCGACTGCCAGTGAAGGTCGGCATCAAATTGACCATTTATTTATGAACAGTCCCCGCCGGCAGATTGCCCACTAGTGGCTCCTTAGGCAACCTCATGTCACAGTGGCACTGCTACCGTTCATGAAGAGTCAATGCCGCTCTCGTTACAGTGACATGATGGTTTTCAAGAGGCGAGTTCCCGTTTATTGACACGCTTCGTCTCGTCCCATCACATTAGTTTATCGGAGATTATCAAGCGAGATTTCGTACTCAAATCGGCCACATTCAAACTTCCAGCACTGACAATGGCATTGACTACATCGGATTGTTTGCTTTACAGCATTCTACTATTTTGACCATCAAAATAATCTCTACGTGCCTTCTATTGATTAGCAAGTTATCGCTTGGTATTTCTTACATCATTGGCGCGAGAAATTCGGAGCCATCAACTGATGTTGTGGCGAAACAACATTCCCAATAGTGGATATTGCATGGAAACCGCAGTCGGTTTCCAGAATATTCAGCTTTCTTGTGGGTCACCGATTGGATCAGAAACTGGCTTCCGCTGTCTATCAGGCAGTACAAGCTATAGCATCTGTCCCATGTGATTGTTTTTCTTTTCCGTATTCTGTTTTCAATTCCGGTGATCTTATTTTCTTCCACAGGCGCTCGGCAGATTTCCCTTGATCGAGATACATATTGAATTAGTCGGTCCTAATCCGGATGATTGTAACAATGACCAAACAGTCCGCTCCGTCAGATTGAACGGTGTGGGTCATTGCGAGAAGGCGCTGTCGGTACATGCAGCGACGGATTATGTATTGCGAGTCCGGCTGACGCGTACCAATCCCATCCATCGGAAAAGTGATCAGGCAAGCGAAAAGATACTTGATACTTTTCGAAATCACGTTGCCGCACTTTGAATGCTTTTCTCCTTACGTTTTTTCGTGAATCTCCACCTCCATGCTTTGGCACCTGGTTGTACCCGGATCTGCTCGCCGTAGGCGAGTCACTCACAGTGGAACTGTCGCAACTTCCTTGCTAACCATAAAGGTTTCACTTTAACGCCATTATTGACATTGTTAACCCATGACTATCGTCGGTCCGCTCAGGTTTGGAAGAGTATCTCAGCTAATGAAGGGACACGTAAGTATGCGACTGATTTTACTCCGCGACACTTGCGATGATGGCGTAGTGCTCAGCACCGTCAACCTCTACGTTGCTGACACCTCGGTCAATCTCTCCGTTCTGTCCGACATACTTATTCGTGAAATATATGGTTATTTTGCGCTGACAAACATTATTTCGTGTCGGGGTCTACGGCAACTTGTCCGCCATCCACCCAATAGCAAGTGACATCAATAATGTTCAATTTCCAACGTTTTATCATGGGAGTCTTGCGTTCCGAAATCTCGCGGAGTGCCGGTGCTTTCCCGTGGGATCTATACCTTTTTCAGTCAATTGCATTCATGACACTTCTGAATATCCTTACGGATATCATGTTCCTCCATAGATCTCTCAAGACCGTCCTTACCGCCACCAAGCTGCATCCAATGGGTGCGAGCGCCTTTGAATGCTACCGTTCACTGAGTGACCAATCCCAAATCATCAAATAGTAGTATCCCACTCAGTGTGCTCACTATTGGCTGATTTGGGATTCGTCACTCAACGAACAGTATGCATCTTTTAGGGGCTTTGCATCTGTTGGATGATTTGATAGAGATAATGACCACCTTGAGATCTTTGGAGGAACATAATTTTCTCAAGGAGGAATTTGAAAGCGCTGTGGATGCAATTGGCTGAGAAAAGGTATAGTCGATTAGCAACGGAAGTCGTAAAACGGCACAGTGGACGGCGGATAAAGCCTCTGGAATGTCCCCATTTTCAACACCCAGTTTTCACCTTCAATATGCAAGACATTGTTGTAAGGTCACTAACCGCTCACCAACCGTTTGAGGCTTGACGACGAACTGTAGATATTAGATCAATTTGCTTATTTTCGCAAATGTATTGGCAGTGACGGACCTGTGTTGCAAATAGCAAAAACTAAAACATTGGCTTCATGAATCAGTGCTGAGACGGGATTCTCTTTGGTTTTAACAATCGTGTCCACAGGAACACAGTGAGCACCGTCCCGCACTCATGGCAGTCAGTTACGACCTCCTCAGATACAGGTTCACTAAAATGCGGTGGAATGAAAGCCTCAAGGAAGATGGCCCACTGATGCTGCTTTTGTACAATATCCAGCTGTTTGCTTAGATCGCAAGGCGTGTGCGTCTTTAGGTTCTTACTTAGGACACTTTACGCTACGTTACTCTACTCCTCCCTCATTAGTATTAGCAGGATATTTATGTTTCGACTATAACGAATCATCATCACAATTGTTCCTATGCTGCTGCTGTATGCGTGCTCACTGATGACTACACCCGTGCTCCACAAAAGCTGGACGTTCCCGATTTATCCGTATCAAAGCAAGTTGATAGCTCCCGGATTCCTAACTCAAGCTTGTCTGGACCCACTGCACTGACCAACTATTCGTGCTTCGATTTCAGCGATCGGAGTTCAGGCTGCTGGTGGAAACACTATTGCGTGGTTAACTTCACTCCGTGCTACCGGGCTGGGCGCACTAATGCAAACTGAATAAGTGTAATCAAGCGCTTCGCAAAGCCTACCGCAATGACAGTAATGTATCCCATTGATTCCGCATTTTCATATCAGTTGCTTTAGGTTTAGACAGCGTGACTTGTATTCGCGTCGGCGCTAAGTGTGATGGAACACAGGACGGCACGATTGAATGGAGAGTTGGCTATTCAGTTTGTCAACCGTTGCAACTACACAACTCGCTCTGATGAGAACAGAACTTCCCCTTCCCGATAATTCTGCCATGCTTGTCACTTCTTTTCCTATGCATTTCCACAGTGTCTAAGTCAAAAGAATGTTCGAAATGATTCCGAATATTGGTAGTTCGGGAGGTTTGTTCAGTTGTTGGGCAACCAAGTTGCCCAGCTTGGAGAAATTCACAACAACTCAGAAGAATGTACCGCTCTTTTCAATGCATCTGCTAAATGAAAGCTGTGAACTCCTTTGCTCCGAAGGTGGAAATTGGATTGAGTGATAGTTGTTGATTGGTGTACAACTTCGAGCGACTACACGGACGGTAGGACTTGGGGTGCAGCATAGCAGACTCTGGTCCGTATTAGGGGCTACTTTTTCTAGTCAAAACTATGCACAATGCCATCTGGCCCCGGTTGGAGAGGGGGACACCAGCGGCGTAGCAATTACTTTTGTCGCCCGGGGCGGTGGTAAAATTTTCGCCCTAACTGAGGGCAGATAGGCGCGTGATGGTCACACAATCGGCTCAGGATAAAGTGCACCTCTTCGATGTAATGGATGGTCGTTTGGGACATTGAGGTAAAAGGGATCACAATGGGATAGCTAAGGCGATTGCTGGGAAGAACGTTTGCACAAGTGTGACATACAGCGCGTGTTTTGGTCATACCGGGTAAATTAAAACACTAGGCTTAACCGGATAGTTTGTCCTTTATATTTGGTATCGAACAATCGCCGGTACTAAAAATGCCGCCCCCTGTCACCGGCCGCCCGGGGGCGACCCCCCCCCCCCTATGTTGCGCCTCTGCCTGTCACTAACGCGGGCCAAGATTGGGAAACTAAATAAACCAACGCAGAGACTGGTGATCACCAGAGTATTTTCTTATTCCCCTAAGTACCACTGATTGTTGAATGAGCTGAAAGTTTTTCAGAATGTCAGTTTCGACCTTGTACTAGCGCACTCTCCACTTCGCCTGATGTGACTGTGCAGAATGACTGACTTGGCTGTGCGTGAGGCGTCAACACGGAGTGCGCTTTGATTTTCCGAAAATTACACCATCTTTCAAAAATTTACTTCACGGCGTGCACTCGGGTTTTCGCAGATATCTGCCAAGATTGTGTCTGTTCGCCTTAACGTTTGACAATCGGCCCCACTCGAACGTGCCCGTCGTTCCCGGTCCTAGTGAGCATCACATCTTCCACTTCCTCTCGCTTCAGATCGCAACCTCGGCAGCTCTGGTCAAAGTCCGGACTCAAGAAAGCTGGGTTCTCGTCTTGGGCAACACAGAAGCAAATCTGTCCTACGGAGGCGAGCTCATGGCTCTCAAGCGTGTATCTCCCACGTCGGAGGTCAGACGGAATTTGGGCGGACACTCGGGGTCCGGCGACCGCCGCTACGTTAGCTTGGCCTTTCGAATGCCTGATCCGCCTGTTGTGCCATACTCCGGTGCGCGGCCAAGTCAGAGGCACATGTTGACTCTGTACCTATTGTCAGATACCTACATTGGCCTAGATCAACAGATTTCTTTTCAGCTCAATGTGATTTCGGCTTCGGCTCGAAATGACAATGATTTGCCTGACCTTTGAAACACTTATTTCAATACTGTAAACTGTTTGCACACAAGAGCTAAACTACCCTTCTCATGCTTTTGGCTTACTTTTCTTCTCTCTGATTTTTTGATTTAAATGAAGAGAGCACTGATGCTGGGAGCAAAAATACCATAGTTTGGTTCGTACACACGGTGACAGGATGAAGCAATTAAAATGCACCAAATATTGGCTTAGTGATGACTTCAACACACCCTACTCTTAAACTCTGAGCCCAGGTAACGGTGGAAGTTGGACCGCATCGTTTTGTGGTCCGAAGGAAGCGGACTAGCTGAAAAGTGAGCTGAAGTAACGAGCACTAAAATCAGACCGCTCGGATTTTGACGATGGAGAATCGGACACCAAATGGCTGGTTATCGTATGCGAATAGGCCATTTTTGTGGAGAAATCCGCACATCATAAACACTAGTCGATGAGCAAATGCCACAGATAAACAGTTCTCCTAAGTGAGGCTGATGTTTGCATCCCAACCAGCCACAGATGTCCGGCAGGTAGTGCGCGAACAGCCCCGATGGGTACCCACCTCAGCCCAAATTACCAAATTAGTGGTTGTTCCTTTCTAGCATACATTGCTCAATGAAAACTAAGCCTCTCTGTATACTGGACAATTTAGCCTACTAGGTATGATTTATTTATATGCCAATGAACACATTGCCCTAGGCCGCAATCGACGGTCACAAATTCGTCTACACTTTCCAACTGGCGTTCGTCGAAGTCTTATGACCGAGCACCTTAGGGTGCTCAGTTGTTGAGCCGCTATCCAAACGGTTATTTGCTTGCAGACCGTCACCAGTCGAGGTGACATCATCAGTGCTGGAGGGATAATGATTTCGTAGCATATACTGATCGAAAGCAAATCCGGGGATCGATGTTGTTGGGTAATACTCAGTTCTCTATGTAGACTTCGGCTATTTATAACTTTATTCTGATCGATTGGTCATTATCATACATTCGTGCTTAGATGCTTGCCATTAGCTACAAAAATGCTCCTGCGTTGTGGCTAGCATTCTCTCAATTCGTTGGCACAAATTCAGCGTTCTGGGTTAACGTCGGTTGTTCTGCTCATTTTCACGTAACGACTTTTTTTCGAATCGAGGTTTTCACTTCACTTGAGATATTCCTGTCTCAGTGGTCGGTATACTGGAACGAGGTTGGTCGAATTTTTTGGTAAGAATCAAGATTCGAAGAACTCCCACCTTTATCGCGACTTACCTTAGGTAAGGAGCTCTGTTAAATTTGCGCTTACCGCACCAATCAAGCAGCAAGGATTTCAAACACCACAGTAACATTTTTGTGGCCAATGACAGGCACCTAAACAAGAATGTAAAGTGCGATGACTACCCGATCGAAACAAAGTATAGATCTAAGCAGCCGGATTTGCCTTCGGCTAGTATGTACTATGAAACCATTATCCCTCCTGCACTGATTATATCATCTCGACTAGTGAGTAAAAGTTTGCAAAAAAATCGCCCAGCTCGGCGAGCAACTCAACAACAGGTTACTTACTAGTACTCCGAATTAGTTCGGACACCTACGGGTGCTCAACACTCCGCTCGCCGTTAGGAGGATTTTGCATGCCGACATGTCTCAACACGCGACACAATTCCTGAAGCGTATGATACCAATGATCATTAATGTGCACAATCGTATCAAGAAATATGAGACGTTTGAAACATAGCGAGCTCTGTTTGCAAAACGTAGGACAACGGCTGCATCCGGCAATAAAACGCAGAGTAGAGAACACCAGAGCCAAAAAGCAGGATTCACTTCGTGAGTTGTCAGAGTTGAACGTCACTAGTGACGAATGCATCGATAACGGATGGGTTAGGGATCTTTCCAACCGGTCACTCAGATACACAGAAAAACAAGTCCTCATCAAATGGCTAAACAATATCAATGACGCTAGAACCACTGAGTTTCCAGCGGGATTCTAAAGTGCGTTGCTGTCTACTGGACATGGCGAAGAAACCCAAGCGCAAACAAGACAAAATTATCCCCGCTATGAAGCGCACTAAACAATGCAACACCCTATATCGAGAAGAGAAGGAAGCAATAGAAGCTCGGAACTTCAACGACTAAATCGTTATCCTGCCTACTGACAGGGGATGAATGACATGCATGACGGACAAAGCGTTCGTCATGGTTGCCCAATTTCCCCATTTTTGTTCAACTTCTTCGTCGACTCCATCATGGAGTGTTCCTTTGCGAAGCCTCACGATGCAGGCGTTGAGGTGCTGCCTAATGAAAAGCTAGTTGATCTTGATTATGCGGGCGATATTGTCTTCCTTTTTAACGATGTTGGGGCGTACCAAACAACCCTGAGTTGTCTTCATTTAGAATGCGCTTCATACCCTCAAAGTTTGTTGCAGGACCACTAGCCACTTGATGAACCCTTGACCCTTGATAACGAGGAACTCGAGATAGTTGAGTAACTCACCTTAGCAGCTGCATCAACAACGATGGGCGTATAACCACTGAAGCCAGTTCACATATCATAAAAGGTATAACTGCCTTCTTGAATCTACCACATCTGTGGCGTCAGAAAGGAGTTTTCCTCGATCTGAAAGGCTGCGCTTTCAAGGCGACAATGAGGGCCAACCTATCCTGTGGGAATGAGGCTTGGCACCTTGGATCTGAGGACCTGCGGCGCCTTCAATTCCTTGCTCATCATTGTCTGCGAAGCATTGCTGGTGCCGGAGGGCACCAGCGTGTCCGCAACGATGATGTGCGTAGGCGTTTACTAGGCAGTGATAACCAAGTCATTTGCTTAGAACCAAAAGTAGCACTGAATAAGGTACGTTGATTTGGTCACGTACTACGTATGCCTGGTCACCGCTTACCTAGAAAGGCGTTGATTTTTTGCCAGGCAGGGGCAAAACCCGAACTGGACAAAAGTTAACTTGGCAACGGAAAATGAGGTCACTGACGATTAAACCCGGTGCCATCTTTATTCCAGGCTGGAGTCCATGTGGTCCGCCTTGTGCTGGGCTCGAAAAGTTGCAGAACACGGCTCGCAATCGGCACCAGTGACGTGTCCGCTGCCGTCTCCTAGTCGGACTGCCTGTTTAACATGTGTTAGGTGGTGAGTTATCTGTGGGTAATGGCTGACTGTGAGGCGGAACAGTGAAAGCCGCAAGGAAGCTGTATCGCCGATGTCGTCTTATCCTTCGCACAGTATCCAGTTGTTTGTGGTGGTATGTTGTTGACAAGGTGCAGGCGCCGTGACCCTGAGTATTTGCCTAGGGCATTCGGGTTTTAGGCTAGTTCCAACTTCTCTCCTGGTTATTCTTCCTTCTATAGATTACTACGGTTGCACAGCACCGAAGCATCCGTTCAAATGGCTGATTTACTGCCGCTGCTAATGATGGTGCCTAGTTCCGGACGGGAATACTGAGCACACCCATGGAGTGCTTCCAGGCACTGAATTAGAGGATATAACTGTCGCGCCATTTCCTTATAGAAGCAAAATGCTATTATATCATACTCAATCGCCTGTGGTTTTAGCGTCTTCGAGATTGTGGTTTAGTCCATTGATGAAGCGAATCCAATGTGATTCGCAAAAATCTCGGGGCCAAATTGCATGTTAGCCTGAAGAGGGACCGCGAAGCCTGGTGGTCTCATCGTGCATCAGAACTGGGAACAGCCTGTGCCATTGGTAATCATCGTAAGTTATTCCGTCTGCTACGAGAAACAGGCAGCAAGAGACCTGGTGTTAGCGAGACAATATGCGACGAGAGTGGACAGCCGATCTACAGCTTGTCAAAATACTTGCAGCATTGGGCCGAACACTTTGCAAGGCACTTTAACCAACCGGGGTTATCACTTTCTTTTACGGGCATTGCGTGCCCTTCTCCCTGGGACGCCTCCTTGGTTCCGCCCGCACGCACAGAAGTCGAATGTGAGATCAGACTGCACCGGCAAATAGAATTCTCCCAGTCCTCTTCTGATTCGGGGACCTGCTCTTGCAGACCATTTACACGAGTTGCTAGTGAAACTTTGGGAACAGGAAACTGTCCTAACAGACTGGAGCCGCTCCGTTCTAATCCAAAATTTTAGGGGAGGCTCCCGTTCCGAATACAGTAATCATAGAGCGACCAGTCGGATCTCAATTGCCTCTAAATTGCTTGCATCTGTCGTTCTCCACAGGCTGACTAGCGCTCGCGAAGGCCAACTCCGCGAAGAGGAAGCCGGGTTTCGTCGAGGTCGGGGCTGCATCGACCACATCTTCACTTTGCGTCAATTATTGGAGCACCGCCATGTTTATTAGCGACCCACCTTAGTTGTGTTTCTCGGCATTAATGGCGCCTTCGATTCGGTTGATGGATATGCCCCTTAGGACTGTTTGTTGAGTGAAGGTGTGCCCGATAAATACGTAAACATTATCAGAGCATTGTACGCGCATAGTTCGAGCAGAGTGAGGGTTTATAGCAAATTGTCGCCGCGCTTCAATATCCCTAGCGGTGTGAGACAAAGTTGTCCGCTGTCAGCTTTCCTCTTTAACTTCGCCATTGACGGAGTCATGGAAATCGCGTTCACGGGATATGATTTAGAAGCTGTAGAGCTGCTCTTAGGAGAACGACTTCTCGGTGATCAGCTAGAAGTCGTTTAGGAATTCAAGTACCTGAGCAGCTATACTAGCGCCCGTGCGATCGAAGATGTGGTTACGAACCGTATAGCAAAAGCTGGAGGTGCGTCACCTGTGGTGCAAACGCGACATCACTCTCGCCCTGGAGGGCAGAGTTTATAATGCAGCCGTCCGTTCAATACTCTCATACGGTTGTGAAACCTGGCCATCAGGTTGACAGACCTAAAGAGGCTAGTCCCGTTCGATCATCAATGCCTTCGTAGCTTAACTCATGTATGGTGGGAGCACTGCGTGAACAATGAACGTGCTCAGCGTTGCGTATTTGGTGCAGGAAGAGCAAGTGAACCGCTCAGCAACAGTATATCACGCACCGGGCTCCGAGGACTGGGCCACATGTTGCGCATACCAACACACCGATCATCGTGACGTGCATTGTTTTCGCGCCGGGGGTACGGTTGGAAGAAGAGATGAGGCCAAGCGATGACTTGGTCGAGAGAAATGAAAACCCGCACTTCGAAGTTGGCGTCGGTTGGTGCACCCCAACTGCCTGGCTGGGGCCCTAAGGACGATGAACACGTTTGGTTGGACACACTTGCTGATATGGCGAAGAGCCGGCCCCAGTAACGTTTGTGTTGTGAGTTTCTTTATCCACCCCCTTTAGGTTCCCCTTCCAATTTCGATATCATACGAAATGCATAATATAATATTTAACAGTATATTGCTTTTAAATTTTTGTAATGTAATTTTTAATATCTTATCATTTTGTACTGTGACAAATCAGATGAGGTGTGTTTCGCTCTCATCTAGCGTGTGTATTGATGATGATCATGATGACGCAGTACACTAGCGAGCTAATAAGCAGTTCGCTCATACTGAAATCAAAACCATTTTAGTATCTTTACTGGATCTTAGTAGCAGATTAAAAAAAGCTGCACTCTGTCTTGGAACACAATGAACATTTTTCACCGGCATATTAAAAAACGACAATTACAACAATCTCCTTGTGGACAGTAGAAAGTGAAATGAAAGCCCTGCGGAGAAATAGCTTGTATAGTTTTGCTGAGTCCCCGATTTTGGTAACAGCATCACAAATTATCTCCTCGCGATCACAGGTATATCTGAGAAGGGAGCAAAGAGTGGATGGACAATAGAGACTGATGTTCATACATGCTAAGATACCAAACAACATACATAAATTAGGAGCTGTGTTGATCGTAAGCTACAAGCGCACTCAACCATACTGTGAAAGGGTTTCTATTTCAGTGCTGGCAAGGATCTACACCACTATCGATGAAGGACTGATGGAAAGTAGGCTCACAATGGATATATGCCGAGTGAAACGACGTGTAGGCATCACGGAAGATCGTAATAAGACCGTATTTTGATGGATTGCACAACTCCGTGATTTGCTGAGTGACACATTGTGTATAGCTCAGAATCACTGATATCAGATAGATCGCTGGGTAAAGGCTAAATGAACTTGGTCTTTTTACTGTGGATGCTAGGGAGAAATTGAGAGCTTCCTTTTTAAGTCATGGAAAGAGCAGACTATGGTTCGTCAAGGTGTTGCGATTGCCGTACAGCACCCATGCCGCGGACTGTCGCTGAGGTTGAGAGTTACACATTTCAATGTTGGCTTATGGAATAACCGCGGCATGTCTGCATACAAGATGCTTCTTGCCGTGTTAGAGAGCATAACTGTTGTTTAATATTTTGCAACGTTCGCCCAAAGGTACACGGCCAGTTATGCAGGAGCCTAGCAAAGTGCAACTGCGATTGACCGCACTATAAATACTAAGGTGCAGACCGTGCGTACCATTTCGTTGAAACCTGCAAAGCGGTTCAGTTGTAGGTCTGTGCCTTCTTTCTAACGGGATCGCGAGTAGTTATGCGGGGTCTGTGTTCATCTCGGTATAGCGAAGCAGGAGGTTGAACGAATGACTCTCACGGAAAGTGCCAGTCTGAGTACCATCAGCTAGTTATCTGCACGGGTCATAGTCCAGAAGAACAGAACCTTTCGCTCCGACTAGGAGAGCTGGTTACGATTGAGCACGTCACGATAACATTGGCGATGGTCAAAACACATGTGTGCCATTTACGGCGGTTGACAAGCAGTAATTTGTTTTTCTGCATGCACTAATATAGGTTTGGTCCACGTTAAGGATTCGTGGAACAATCCTAGAACCAAGCCTGCTGCCCAACGTAGTATAAGGTTAACAAATTATTAGCTTTAAGTGGGGGCAACAGCAAAACTCACATTTATTCCATTGCCCGTAAACTCGCCAGGGTGTTTTTGAAATCAAGTCCGAAACTTGGAGCGGCCGCACTCATGTGCTGACGTACCTCGGTACGCTGAATTGCCAAATGTCCAGTGGCGAATGTTGGTTTCCCGACAGTGCCGGCAAAAGTGGATGGCGGGGGTGGGTTTGGGACACAGAGGCGGGACCTGTGTGTCTAGGATCGCGATCGCAATAGACAGGTCATGCTTCGATCGCACGGCAGAGCAACGAAACATATGCCGCTCGGCTGTGAGATGTTGGCCAAACACCAAAGCCACAATGGACGTGTCAAACGGTATTCTGTAACCCTTAGGACTGCAGCTGAGGAATGACGCTTGTCTGCAACATTTCTATGCACCAAGATGCTAGGAAATGCCAGACATTAGTACCGTTAAACAACAACCTACCGGACATACTCCTAGAAAAAATGGTTCAATGATTTTTCGACCCGTCAAGCCAGCCCAGGCCATGAGCTTCGCGCTGTGTTGCACAAGTGAAACGCTACATCGCCGTGGGTTGTTGCTACGGTGTAGCGCCCCGCGATTCCCCTCAATCCAGCCATCCGAGGAATTCCGGTTACTTGGAAGGGTAAACGCCCGTCAAACTCGCTAGACCAACTCACAGCATAGCTGCAGTAAACATCTCAAGCTCCCTCGAGCCCTACCAGCGCATGGACATTTGCGCCTCTATCTTTTATGGCGTCATACACATTGTCTCTCCTTGGCGGTGGTGCACCGGCAGACCCTGAAATCGATGAATAGACTAGTCCGAGCAAACACAAGAAAACGGCTACGACTCCACAAGGAGACCAGCGTAGCTTTCTTTCCTTCATCAATTCAGGATTATGGCCTGGGGGTTCCGTGCCTTTCTAGTACGATCCCATTGTTTCGGAAGGACTGCTTAGAACGTCATCTTTCACTCTCCCACCCAATCACCAGCTGAGCAATACGAGAGCCTACAATGGCTACCATCCAGTGTCTGTCCATGAAACCCGTGATCGTTGGAATCAAGCCGTCTTTGACAGAAGTGACGCGAAGGAACTCAGTGCCATAATCGGTGGACGAATCTTTGCTTCAGGGGTACTTACGACGCCAGGGTTTCACAAGTGGATAAGAAACCCTGAAAGAATTTTCCCCAGACTCTACATCAGAGGAACACAACTTCGAGCATGGGTGCTATAGACGAAATCTCGATGCTCCAGGGGACGACCACATCCTTGCAGAGACTTCGCAAATCAGACCTCTATAAACGCACTGAGAATGTTGCCTAGTTTGGCAACGAAACGTCTGCAACAAAACTGCCTAGCTCGGAGAACACAACAACTCTCTCATCCACATTCCGAGCTATAGGTATTCTCAATAATTTCCAAACCTTGGCCAATTCGATCACTTTGATAGTAACTGATGAAGCAGATAGGCGGGGACCCAGTCGTCCGTTATGCCTCCAGTGGGCCGTAGCCTAAGAGTAACAAACTTGTCGTGTACTCTGACAATGCGGGTTCGAGCTTGCGTAGGGTCAGGGTGACCCTCGCAGTATCCTTAGCCCACGTGCGACCAATGGTCGTTGCGCGGCATCGAAGCGTTGGTACTGCGTACCGGCGTACTGTTGATGCCTTTTTTGCCTGTTCCTATGAATCTTCGTGTATTTTGTGTAGGCGTGTGGGCGAAAGTATGCAGCTGCTCGAATACTGGAAAGGTGTAGGCTATCATGACTCCACGAAACTCCGCATATCTTTATTAGACTTGTGCTGCACAACACGACCGAAATCAGCGACGAACGACAATCGTTCGCTGCTTGCACAGTTCCGTTGCATTCACAAGAGCACAATGTGGTTTGAACATCATCTAGTCGTATCTGCAGGCCAATAGAGTTATGTGTTAGATGAAGTCATAATAGGCTACACTGCTCCAATACTCCAGTAGCTGCATAGGCTCGCCCAAATACGCACAGTAAATACGCGAATACCCAAAGAGTGACAAGAGACTAGTGTGTCAATACGTATAAGCTACATCAGGTACGATCCCAGCGATCGAATTAGACAAGGTTTACTTCAATAAGACTCGCGGTCCATATTGATATTGCGCATGGCAATCCAATCACAAAACGAGTGTGCTTCACAACAGCCCGCTTTGCTTTAGTGAAACTAGAATACACGATTCGGGATTCTGAGTTTTCAATTGACACACAGCTACGCATGTTCATGTTTGAAGGCAAAGGCACATAAACTACACGAAGGCTGATGGAGAGAAGGGGGGGAAACGCAGTCATCGCTTTTGATCGAGGTTCCCAATCAAGAGCACAGGGTTTGCAGTGGCACCTGCTACTTATACAATTCGGCTGCATTAGTATGACTACAATGAGGTCCAGTCACCTTACTTCTCATTTCCTGTTAACCAATTGCTGATTTTCTGCTTAGAATGCAATGTGCCCAACTTGGTTTGCTAAATGTTCAATTTGTTTCGCAAAACATTCAATGTGGTCTGCAATACTGTGGAGCCCACGGTGACAGGCAAATCCGGACACGGATGTCGCCAACCCATATATATATATATATATATATATATATATATATATATATATGTATAGTTTTTACAGTGAAAAAATCAGGAGAGATTATACCATTTAGGCGGCTGGTTAATCTGGCAGCAGCGATGCTGACAAGTTGGCGTCTTACTTTTCTCAGTAACAGCGGGAAGTGGGGCTATCACGAGCCATTCGGAAATGAGGCGTTGGTTATTTTTTCAGTCTAAACAATTTGGTCAAGCACATAAGTCAATCGAAGTAACGCGGCTGCGCATGCGCTTGCACGCAGGGGCAATTGTGTACACATGTTGTGTGTGTGTGTGTGTGTGCGACAAAGGGGACAATTGCGGTGAAGAAATTAACCAATCGTTTGACACATATTCCTGCGAAGTAGATGTGAGGCAAGCAATACCACAGGGTCCCTGATCGATTCTTACGCTCACATGATGGTTAGGAGACAGCGTGTGAACATTTTATTCGTGTCACAGTGAAAGAATTGATTGACTCACTACCAGCGTGGACGGGGCCGCCCAACATTGGCGTCGATAGGCCGAAAGGTTAAACCAGACATAACATCTGGTTCATCCACAGCACTTGGTCCAAACCGACGAATGCGGAGTGTGTCTGGCGAATTGTTTCCATGAGAAGATATGCCCGAAAGCCTGGTTTGAACCACCTAGAAGATGGCGATGCAACAACGGTAAGGAAGACATAGTTCATAATGGTCGGTAATCTGATGGATAGCTGAAATGACGCGAAGGCTGGACAAGCAATAGCTAGTTAAAACAAAGTGAACAGGATGATAAGTCGAAATGCAATAATATAAGCGAAGGATTTAGATACCTGAGCGAGGGGTGTGAATTCGACACCAGTGAAGCAACATGGAGCTTTTAACATCAGTGGAATTATACATAGCACATGACCCATTTCCAGCAGCACAGCATGAAGAATAAGGCCACCGCATCGCCTGCGTGCGGTAACCATCTGCGATCTGACCGAACGCAACGTTCAGATCTCTGGATGCATCTCCGACCATTGGCTTATGTTTACATCTTGTATTTTTGATAGCCCAGAATGTCGGGATCATGGCAGGGGGAGCATAGTCCCTGCACCGCCGGCCAATAGTAATGCACAACTAGAGTGAGGAAGAGGGACCAAAGCAACAAGAATGAAGACCATACCAGAACCGTAGAATCCATCTTTTGGAGATAATACCCGGGGCATGGATAGCTCATTTGCAATACGTCCATAGGGTGATGCTCGGAATGAAGAAAAATAGTGCGTTTCTGGTGGTTTTATGTGTGGCTAAAAGTTCTTGAACAACTTGGAACCAGGGGTATTGGAACTTATGTGGCCGACACTTCGTTGTTGGGGCCTGACAAAGAAAAGCCACTAATGAAAGTGGGGAGAGGGTCTGTAGTAGTCACTGGAGTAACAGCAGAAGGCTCCTTACGATGTAGTTGATCTGCCGTATGCAAACCACTTACGTGGCTGTGCGAAAACTGTTAGGCCCGGCGATGCGGTGCCTATAAGTACAGTACCGTCGGTGGCTCGGACTTCGAACTTCACTCTCACCCACCGTTCTAATGTGGTCCAAGTGTGTCAGGTCGCCGATTACGCGACTCAGTCTATCTGACACATGCTCTCCTATCTTATATCTCATATTGCCAAAGGTTTTCCCTGTCTCGTTGGAATTAACGTTTAGTCAATAAAGTGTCCATTACTTCGAAGTCTTTATTCTATCGGTTCTACGCCCATCTGCCACGAATATAATAAAAAGCGGGCTTATATTCGAATACCCAAACATGTGAGAAGTCATCGTCAAAGAAACTCCAGATTCTGCTCACGAGTCGTCACGCAGATGGCAACTTTTCTTCCGTGGGAAGCAATAGTGTGAGTAAACGAGAGTAAACACTACGCGTTAGAAGTCCATTTAAGCCGCGAAGTTCAAGAGGCGGATATAAATCAGATACAACCATTCGCATTGGAGGGTCGACTATTATTGTTGAAGGTGGCAGGTGAACCGGATGCTGACTGAACTCACTTCTGAGTCACCAGCCTGTCTAAATGGACTCGTCGAAAGTGGATCTCTGGAGCTCCCAACAGTTTGAAGCGAGAAAGATCATGCTACGGAGTAGTCAATTTCAGTGTCTGCAACGCTAGAATGGTGTCTGATCGATCGACAGCACTGTTAAGCAATTTGTTGTGGGGGATTACGGTCCTAACTCACCCGAAGCGCATATCCAAGATCTCCGGTGATGGAACAGGACATTTTACTTATTTTCAGACCCACTAACTACAAAGCTGTATGGGGCATTTAAAACAGCGAATTCCCCTTATTATACCAGACAAGACCTAAGCTGTGGCATGACTCAGTCGGTTAGTTCAGATTTGTCAAGCACAAATATGCACCGTCTCATTGTCGGTGTCTTAAGCAAACACATAAACACTTATCTTGCTGACAAGAGTACAGTTCAGCTACATTATACGCCCCTTCCACTGTAGCACTAATCCGTTCTGCGGTGGTTTTCAAAAGGTGAACATCATTAAACAGCAGCTCGATGAAGATAGACTTCTTTTGGACTGTTGGCGCATACTCTCACTTGGCTGTGTTGCTGAGGCGTTTTGTAAGTTCGACGGATAACCGTTGGATTGTAGCGTCTCGAACAGCAGATACTCTTGTGTGTCCGGGGTGCAAATCATGTGGGCATCCATACCCCATAAATGTACGGTCTGCCCAGTGTACAAATCAGGGATGCAT